TAGATGGCCATCTGACAGCAATGTGGATTCTGTGAACTTAGGCAGATCACGAGAGGGAGGGCAGGAAAGGTTGCCTCAGCGCTTACTTCTTGTGGCCCCTTCTTTTATCCCCAGGGAAATGCTGATCGCCACTTTGGGGTCAAGAAGCAATTTTCTTCAGCCTGGAGATCCTGGAGAATTTTTTTTGTCATCTTCTGGGTGTGGAACAGAGGTCACTGGGGGTGTGAGGGCAAGGTATTTGCGGCTTTCCTGCATTGTGCAGGGGGCTGGACTAGATGACCCTGGAGGTTACTTCCAAGTCGATGATTCCATAGAGTTTCCAATGAATCTCAGAGCATCACGCCCTGGAAGTAACATCACATTGCTGTGATGCCACGCCCCATATCGTAGGCCCACCAGTCTCCCATGGGATGCTTAGCTGCCGACTGGTAACCCTAGAGTTAGTTGCTTTGTTTTGTACTAAGAAGCAGGACAAATGTCTATAAATGGGGGAGTCTTTTGTACTACATTTTCCCCCCAATGATTAGATTTTTATCTCACATAGGGAAATTTACATAGTTCTCCCAGATTAACAGCCTTTTGAAACTGGGCCTACTGGAACAGGACAATTGTACAGCAGGGCACAGAAGAAGAAGAGCTGGATTTATACCCCACCTTTCACTTGGAGTCTCAGAGTGGCTTACAATCACCTTCCTTTCCTCTCCCCACAACTGATATCCTGTGAGGTAGGTGGGGCTGAGAGAGCTCTGAGAGAACTGCTCTTGAGAGAACTGCTCTCAGAGAACTGTGACTGACCCAAGGTCACCCAGCTGGCTGCATGTGGAGGAGTGGAGAATCAAACCTGGTTCTACAGATTAGAGTTCGCCGCTCTTAACCCGTATACCAAACTGGAGCATAATGGAAGAAACTGTTATTTTTAAAAAAGCAACAAGAACAAGTCATGCTAAGAGTGAACTCATGTGCAAACATGAAGTTACAAATGCACCTTTCTTCCTCATCACTCTTGTGTGGGTGGGTGAGACACATGGCATGGAGAAAGGGGGGAGGGCTGAAGTTTGAATGCCCTAGCGGAGATCCCATCAAAGAAGACGTGAAGAAGATAAACAGCAATCCATTATTGTTCAGTCAGTTCATAAACACAAAAGAACGTATCATTAAAATCTGACAGACAATACTCCAGTGAATGACTACACTGTGCACTCGACCGGCCATTCGCAGAAGGAGATTTCACAGGAGAGTCTCCATGGCAGACAAAAAAGTGGGACGTTTGAGGATGCGGTCATAAAATTTAAGTGATTTCTCATCCTGTAAGAGTCACTTGTGAAGAAGACTCTCTCGGAACACTTTGCCATAGTGTTACCTCGGGTTCTTGTGCCTGCAGATAAAAACGAAACACCTTTTGCAGGGCAACATAACACGGCTACCCATCTTGCTCTATCTACCTGTTCTGCCATAGTGTTGTATTGTTCACAATACAAGAACTCGTGGGCACTCAATGAAATTGCTGAGCGGTTGGGTTAGAACGGATAAAAGGAAGTCCTTCTTCACCCAAAGAGTGATTAACACATGGAATTCACTGCCACAGGAGGTGGCGGCGGCTACAAGCATGGACGGCTTCAAAAGGGAATTAGATAAGCATATGGAGCAGAGGTCCCATCAGTGGCTATTAGCCACAAGGTATAGATAGGGGCTCTGGGGCAAGTGATGCTCTGTCTTCTTGGTGCTTGGGGGGGGGGGTCAACAGTGGGAGGGCTTCTAATGTCCTGGCCCCACTGGTGGACCTCCTGATGGCACTGGTATTTCTGGCCACTGTGTGACACAGAGTGTTGGACTGGATGGGCCTTTGGCCTGATCCAACACTGGCGTCTCTTATGTTCTTATGTTCTGCCAGATGTCAATCAAGAGAGTTTTCCCCTGACTGGAAAATGGTGGCAAACTAGCTTTCCTGACCCTTTTCAGGAGACAGATTGAGATGAGTAGCCTTATTAGTCTGTAGCAGTAGAAAAGAGCAAGAGTCCAGTAACCTTAAAGGCTAACAGAATTTGTGGCAAGGTATGAGCTTTTGTAAGTCACTGCTCACTTCATGAAAGTTCATCCCCCGCCACAAATTTCGTTAGTCCTCAAGGACTCTTGTTCTTTTCTACCATTTCAGGAGGGCAGCCATGTTGGTCTTCAGTAGAAGAGCGAGATTCGAATCCAGTAGCACTTTAGAGACCAACAAAATTTTCAGGGGGGAAAGTTTTCAAGAGTCCACGCTTCATTTTGTAAGGCAGGTAGGCTAGCTCTCCTGACCAGCTTATGAGAAGAAGAAACCCAAGTTCCCTAGTAGGAGGAAGAGTGGAAAAAGAGAAATGCTTCCATCCCTTAAGTGGCTTTTGTGAAGCAAATCTCCCCCTCTAGATCAAGGTAGGAGATATCAGTTTCCAGTCAGCTGCCAGCACAGTTTTGCTCTCCCTTCGTTTATCAGTTCTGTCAAACAAACTGGCTTCCAGTTGTCAGAGAGCAACACAGTGCTTTCTTCCCCACCCCACATTTCAAGTACGGTTCACTCAGCGGCCTACTCCCGGAGCTCGGTTTAAAACATATCATTTAACACCGTCAGCTGACTGAGCTCCCAGGTACTATAAACTTCCCTTTTAGTAGCTTATAAACTTTTAGAGCCATCATTCACAATCAAGCAGTCTTTCATTTTACACATCCCAGCGGCTGCAAGGACTCAAGGAGAGAGCAAGTGTCTCTGATGAGAAGAAGAATTATAGGCGGTCTCCGAGGGCTGTGGCTCCTTTCATTAGGGTTCAACAGAAAGCCACCCCGAGTCTGGAAATGGAAACTGGAAGCCAGAATGGAATATGTGGAGCATAAAACTAAAAAAACAAAGTGAACCAGCTTTGTTTTAAAAACAGGGCATGAAAACCAGTTCCTGTTTCGTTTCCATTACTGTTCAGGACAGATTATTGGTGCTCATGACGCAGGGAAATACTCCAAACCTGTTAAAATGTCGCCAGTAGACAGAATGTTGTGGCCGCTAGAAAAGGACGTTATCATTTAAAATGTATTTTAAAAATATTGACATGTAGCTGTAGCCAGAATGTGTCCAGGCGGTACACTGCTGCACCTGATGAAACCCTACCTAACATCCCCCCCACTCCAATTTTTGTTGTTGTTGTTCAGTCGCACAGTCGAGTCCGACTCTTCGCGACCCCATGGACCAGCTTCCGCCAGGCCTTCCGGTCTTCCACCGTCCTCTGAAGTTTGCTCAATTTCATGTTCGTTGCATCTATGACACTGTCTAACCACTCCAATACAGGCCTCTTATTTGTGACATGGCAATTTCTCTTTAAAGAATGGGAGTGTTGTATTTAGAAGAGAAAAAGCACTGGTGGGAAAAAAGTCCTCCTTCAACAACTATAAATGTGACAAGTAGCTTAGAGTGGGTGATGCCTAAGTTATAGCAGGATTATATCCAATTTCATCTTTCTGGGGTCTGGATCTTGCCTGACCATCAAATCAGTACTAGCCCCCCCCCCATTAATATTAGCTGAGGGGAGTCAAACCCTACTGAAATGTTGTTCCCCCCTGGGGGCAGCCCTATTTTTATAACGTCTCTTGCTCATATACAAATCTAACAACCAATAAGAAGTTAAAATCAGCACCTTGCTGCTATTTGAGACTGTGTGCATGGGGAGGATAAGGTCCTGGGCCAAATTTTATTATTTACTGAGGTAAAAACTATGTGGAACTGCACATTCTTGATTGTGGAGCCAGTGTGGTGTAATGGTTAGGAGTGGCGCACTGTAATGTAGAGAACTGGGTTTGATTCCCCACTCCTCCCCATGAAGCCTGCTGGGTGACCTTGGGCCAGTCACAGTCCTCTCAGAACTCTCTCAGCCCCACATACTTCGCAATGTGCCTGTTGTGGAGAGAGGAAAAGAAGATAATTGTAAGCTACTTTGAGTCTCCTTACAGTACAGAAAAGTGGGATATAAAAACCTTTTCTTCTTCTACATGGTGGGAACTCAGTGTAGTGAAATACATGCCAGGCTTTGGACAGTATATTCATGCCCCCGTCAGATCCAAACATTTTTATTTTGGGCAGCCGTTTCAAAAGGAAAGCCATCTGAATTGCTTTTATGAAGTGATTTTAAAAAAAATATTATCTTGGTGTGGGATTTTGAAAGGTCATTTTATCTTGTATGTTGCCTGAGTTCTTGGATATCATTTGGGGGTGCTTTAAAAAAAATGAAGCAAACACACAGGCCACAGCTAGTCAATCAATCAGTATAGCAAGCAAACATTATAATAAAGAAAAAAACACAACAAGGAGACGTTAAAATCATCTACCCAAGAATATTTCCCTTCCCTACATTCAATTTATTCACTAAACCTTTTGAAGGAAAATGAAACAGCATTGGAGGGTCCCAACAGGAAATTTGTTCCAGACTAGGTTGCCAGCTCCAGTTTGGGAAATTCCTGGGGATTTGGGGGTGGCACTTGGGGAGGGACATCAGTGGGGTACATAGATTCTGCCCTCCAAGGCAATCATTTTCTCCAGGGAACTAATCTCGGATGTCTGGAGATCAGTTGTAATTTCAGGAGATCTCCAGACCTCACCTGGAGGTTGGCAGCCTTAGTTCCAGAGCCATAATAGTGCAAACTTTGTTCCAGCAATTTATTGTCTTCACTTCTCCTCAGGCTTTTAACTGAAGAGTACTATCTTTTAAAGCTATTTTTGGATGTCTCCTGGGTTGTGCACTGTTTCATTAATATCATTTTGGGATCACCGATGTTTGGTTTTGTGCAGTTTTTATGCTCTCGCTGGGTTTTAATGGCTTCTGTGGTTTTGCTGTATTGCTTTAGTTGTGAGCCATCACAAGTCCTCTGGAGAGGTGCCATATACATTTTCTAAATAAACGAATGGCACTATCCCCTACCCTGGAGTGAGTGCTTCCCTTCCCCATAACACCCTCCCCTGTGCATTTAGCTTTCAAGATGAACAGCTGTTACAGCCCTGTAGCTAAGGAGTTTTGGGGGAGGGGGACGGGAGGGGGCCCAAAGCCCAGGGCGTCACGGTATCCACCAAGGCACGGGTCGGCAGCCAAGCGGGGTGGCAGAGAAGCGGGACCGCTCTGGCAACGGGGCAGAGAAGGCGTCTCCTTCTCAAGGTCCATCTGCGATCGCGACGAAGCTCCGGGCTCCTCGCTGGGCTCACTGCAGCCTAGGTGGTAGCATCGCTCCTGCCGCCGCAGCCAGCGCAGGGTTCGCCGGCCGGCCGGCTGCTCCTCCAGCACGCCTGTAGGCTCCCCAGCCACTCGCCTCCTGCCTACCTGTTGTCCCCGGGCGCCCTGGGCTGCCGAGCCGTGCCCAGGCTAGCTCCCTCCATTGCAAGCAAGCAAAAGCGGGGCGGGGAGGGAAGGGAAGGGGGAGTGAGCCGGGCTACTCCGGACCTGGGCAGGTGGGCGGGCGCAGCACAGCCGCTTCAGCAGCTGCCCCAGTCCATCTCTGAGCGGGGGCGCTTGGAAGCCCTGGCTACATGGCGTGCGCGGCGGCTGCAGGGCTTGGCCAGGGCCCCTCCTCGCACGCAGGTGCACTGCTGCCCTCCTCTTGCCAGCTGTTGGGCTGAGGGCAGCAACAGGGGGGAGGGAGGGGTGGGCCCCGCGGGCCCCGCGGGCCCCGCGGTAGCTACGGGCCTGAGCTGTTAATAGATTTTGGAGTTTTTACACTAAGACAGTGTTCAGTTGACAGTTGAGATCGAAAGATTCACCATCTTTTAATATAAGTTGTATGATTTTATATTGATTGACAGTTTTAATGGAATTTTAATGTATTTTTATATATGTTGTTAGCCGCCCTGAGCCTGCCAAATGGCGGGGAGGGTGGGATATAAATGTAAATATAAATAAAAATAAATAAATGTATCTCATCAAATCCATTTTAAAATTCAGAAGTAATATTCATGTTAGCCTTCTGCTGACTTTCTATCCCATTCCAATGAAGAGGGAGCTTACCAGCCATGCGTATTGGGAGAGCACAGGTCTCCTCAATGCACCCCAATATGTGTTATGAGTTTGGTGTCGTGGTTAAGTGCGTGGACTCTAATCTGGGAGAATCGGGTTTGATTCCCCACTCCTCCACTTGCACCTGGCTGGATGACCTTGGGCAAGCCATAGTTCTGTCAGAGGTGTTCTTGAAAAAGAGCAGTTTCTGTCAGAGCTCTCCCAGCCCCACCTACCTCACAGGGTGTCTGTTGTGTGGAGGGGAAGGGAAAGGAGTTTGTAAGCCACTCTGAGACTCCAAGTGAAGGGTGAGATATAAATCCTATCTCTCCTTCTCCTCCTCCTCCTCATACGAACTGGGCAGCATATGGTTTTTCCATGAATTTACAGCTTTCATGCAAACAAAGCGGAACATTGATTTTCCAGGTTTCTGGTTTGCATGAATGGAAAATCCATTGCATTGCCCAATCCACACGAGATGGTGACCATCTATCTTGGGTGCTTCAGAAGTACGGTTGCCAGCTCTGGTTGGGAAATGCCTGGAGATTTAGGGGATGGGACCTGGGGAGGGAGGAGCTTGGGGAGAGGCAGGACCTCAGTAGGGCACAGTGCCGTAGAGTCCACCCTCCAAAGCAACCATTTTCTCCAGGGGAACTGATCTCTGTCGCCTGGAGATCGGTTCTGATTCTGGGAGATCTCCAAGCCCCACTTGACAGCTGGCAGCCCTAATCACTGGGCTTCATGAATTCATAGAATCACAGAATCACAGAGTTGGAAGGGGTCACCCAGGCCATCTACTCCAACCCCCCCTCTCAATGCAGGATCAGCCTGGAGCAGCCCTGACAAGGGTTTGTCCAGCCGCTGCTTGAAGACTGACAGGGAGGGGGAGCTCACCACCTCCCGAGGCAGCTGATTCCACTGTGGCACCACTCTTACCATAAAAAGCTTTTTCTCAGATCCAGCCAGTACCTTCCCGGCCTTAATTTAAACCCATTCTTGCGAGTCCTCTCCTCAGCTGCCAACAGGAAAAGCTCCCTACCCTCCTCCTCTAAGTGACAGCCTTTCAGATCCTTCAAGAGAGCAATCATGTCCCCCCTCCACCACCTCTTCTCTAGACTGAACATTCCCAAGTCCCTCAGCTTTTCCTCATAAGGCTTGGTCTCCAGGACCCTGATCATTCCTGTCGCTCTCCTCTGCACCCTCTCCATTCTGTCCACATCCTTTTTGAAGTGAGGCTTCCAGAACTGCCGACAATATTCCAGATGTGGTCTGACCAATGCAGTCTGCAGCAGGACTATGACATTTTGCAGTTTGGATGTTATTCCTCTATTGATACACCCCAAGATTGCATTAGCCTTTTTTGTTGCTGCATCACACTGGTATGTTTAACTGGTCTGGTGGGCTCTTGGTTCACATGAATGGACCTCTGTCTGCAGAGGTGACAAAACTGCAAAGATTGTGGAGTACGTAACAATGGATCCCCCCCCTCATTCCCACAAACACTAATCTCCACCAAGTTCTCAACTTCTGCTCAAAGCAACATGCACCTGGAAAGAACTGGTAGCTGGTACCGCCCTCGCAGTGCATGAGCAGCTGAAGTCAAAAGCTCAGGCTGATCTGAAACCCGGCCCAAACCCCACTGCAGATATTTGCAGTGCAACTTTTTAGAGAAACTTATTTCCATAACAAGCAGCATAGGGGGATAGGTTTTGTCATGTGTCTCATTAAAATGTCAAGGGAGGCATAAAGAGCCTTAAGAAATCCCTTTCCCCAGCTTGTACTGAAAATATCACTGTCACCCGTCATCTGTTTGCACTCATCAAATTTCCAAGACGACTTATTTTATCATATTCACACCACCCTTCATAGATGCGTTTAAAAAAATGATTAACGCCACTTAAGGCTCCGGGCAAGTATCTTATCCACTTTGCCAGCAACAACTCTACACTAACAAGATGGCACAGGATGGAAACAGGGCATAAATATTCTAGCTGATCCCTTCACAATTCTGCTCCACTGGAGAGATCTGGGTTTTCCTCCCCAACACAGTCCTCTGCCCTCTTGGATGGTCTTGAACATACTACCATTTCCATTTTAGTAAGGAAACCAGCCTACCCTGAATCAGAAATCCCTCTGCCATGACAATGAGGCATCCAGGTAACCTTAAACAAGCCACTGTGTCGCAGTTTCAACACATACGCCCCGTTCTGATTTGCCAGATGGAAAGAATACTGCCAGATAATAACTCTGTAAAGTAAAGACTGAGATAATGTATATGAAGTTTCTGGAACATTCTCAAGTGGTAGATATTCTAACTGTGGCTGACATTTGATCTACATAGATAAAATCTACATAGAGTTAAACCCATATTGGTGGTGGTGGAAAGTGCCATTGAGTAGCAGCCGACTTATGGTGACCCTGTAGGATTTTCAAGGCAAGAGACAGAGGCGGTTTGCTACTACCTGCGTCTGCATAGCAACCCTGGACTTCCTTCCTGGTCTCCCATCCAAGTGCTAACCAGGGCTGACACTGCTTAGCTTCTGAGATTTGACAAGTTAGGGTTAGCCTGGGCCTAGGAATAAAGTCCGTTGTGGGGGGAAAACACAACGAGCTCTAGAAAGAGGGTGGGGTCAATGATTTTGTATCTCGCAGGCAGAGTAAACACAGAGTAGTGTTTTGCAGTGTAAAGAACTAATGTGGGAGTGAAGACCAGCATACCTTATGGTAAAGGTAAAGGTTCCCTTGCTTGAAAGCCAGTCGAATCCGACTCTAGGGTTGCGGTGCTCATCTCCGTTTCAAAGCCAAAGAGCCAGTGCTGTCCGAAGACGTTTCCATGGTCATGTAGCCGGCATGACTAAACACCAAGGTGCATGGAACGCTGTTACCTTCCCACTGAAGTGGTACCTAATTATCTACTTGCAATTTCTTGCTTTCGAACTGCTAGGTTGGCAGGAGCTGGAACTAGAGACAGGAGCTCACTCCGTCATGCGGCAACTCGGGTCTCGAACTGCTGACCTACCGACCTTCCACAGCCTGCAGTTCAGCGTCTTAACCACTTGAGCCACTAGAGAGTAATTGTTGTCTGTGGTCCTGGACACTGGTGACAGTTTCGGAGTGTGGTGTCTGTGGCAGTGTACCTGTCTGAGGTCCCACCTCTCCTCAAACCCACCCTCTCCAGGCTCCACACCTGAAATCTCCAGGAATTTCCGTACCTAAGGTTGGCAACTTTATCTCCTCCCCTCTCAGCAGCCTCTTCCTAGGCAAAGTTCTGTCTTTCTCATTAGTGGGGAGCAAAGCAGCTTACTTCATTCTCCTCTTCCGCTTTGTGATCTGTACAGCAACCCTGCAAGATAGGAAGTCTGTGGCTTGTCTGAAATCACTCAGGCAGCTTCCATAGGGAGGCTCCTGCTCAACAGGAGCAAGCAGCCAGAGCTAGTGAAGTAATGCCAATCAGGAGGCATGAAGTCACCCTGGGAGTGCTGGCTGGCCTAGGGTTGCCAACAAAGACAGACTGATGCAAAGGAGGATGGAAAAGTCTCCATATTGCTGGCAGGCCTAGGGTTGCCAACAAAGACAGATTGATGCAAAGGAGCATGGAAAAGTCTCCATATCTCTATTTTGCCTTAAATTGGTTTTGATGCAAGCAGAGTGAGAAAATGTCAGAGGCTCTGGATGGGTGCCCCATGGTAAATACACCAAACAATTCCCAAAGATTTTCCAAAACACTACTCTGTCCAGATTCATTTTTTACACTCACAGCATCCCCTGCTAGAATGCAACACATCCCCAGTACTTTGAATTACCACCAGAGCTTTAAGAGCTCTCCAGCTGTCACCTGGAGACTGGCAACAATGGTTTTCCAGGAAGAAATGGCTTGTTTGGAGGGTGGGGTCTATGGCATTGTATCTGTCTGAGGTCCCCCTCTTCCTCCTCCTCAGACCCCACCCTCAGCAGGCTTCATCCCTAAAATATCCTGGAAGTTTCCAACCTGGATTTTGCAATCCTATGTTATTTCCAGGCAACCATCAGCCTACCTGTCTGTCTGTCTTCAGGATTACATCTCCTCCCCGCACCCTGCAGACTCTACCTAGGGAAAGGGTAGTCTCCCCCATATGATCCGCACAACAACCCTGTGAGGTATGTTAGGTCAAAAGTCTGTGAATGGTCCATAATCTCCCCAGGCAGCTTTTATAACATGAACCTGGGGCCTGCACACCATCCTCTGAAGTGCTATCAGGTACATATCAGTGGCAGTAATAGGGTGACTGCTGGAACCTTTTCTTATGGTCTTATGCCTTGTGGTATTCTGCTTATGGTCTGATCTCTCTTTTTTGTGGTATAGCATGATTGTGTTATTGGGTTTGTTTCTTTTGAAGGGGAAGTGGTGTGTTGTGGGTGAGGACATATTTTACCTCAGGATACACCAGGTCACATATGCAACTGACAGTTCCAACTGTCGGGGGGGGGGAGCTTGAGGCGCACAATGGAGTGAGGTCCAATCAGCTTCCATATGCAAATTACCTTGAAACGCTGGCCCAATGAGAGAAGAGTTGCCTAGGCTGCAGTGGGTGGGACAGAATCCAATGGCAACACCCATCCAATGGCAACTGATTACTCTTGAGT